TAATGTGGTTATCAAGTTTTGGGCCATAAAATGATAATATTCCCAGAAACTTGAAATGAAAAGTTTAAATGTATCAGAAATTTAAAAGATTTGAAACTTCGCTTTAAGTTTTTTTAAAAAGTTGTTCAATTAAAATAATAAAGTAGAATTGAGAAAGCCTTTTTCAAATTGGGTATCTTAAGACACTTCATATAATTGTTTTAAGATGTTAGAAATCAAAACCAAATATGAAAAACAGTTAGCAAGTAATTATACATTGGCTGATTGGCATATATCTAAGGAAATACCAAGTTAGGTAAAGGGATAATATTTTTAAATGCTGTAGCTACTTTAATTATCAAATCTTTAATAAAAGCAATTTAAAGCATCGGGTACCTTCCAGATTTTGAGCCATGAACATAATTTTACCCAAGTTCTAACATACAAATGGTTGCCAAAGACTCTCCTGGAACACTCGGAGGAAGGGCCGCTTGCCAGCATCAAGAAAATCTACCCAAGCACCTAAAATTAGTATAATAAACCCCACCTGTCCTTCCTATTGCCTTTTGGTTAGACTTCCCTGAGGAGCTCAGATCAAGAAGGAACAAAGTGTTTTCGCTGCGGGCTGACTACTGTGATCCAAGAGAACACTTAAGAATCTGAGACATCTAGAGAGAAAGGCAAGCAGTGATCTGTGTGGTTAATAGAACAGGGGGGCCAAGATAAATTCAGAGGCCTCGGGAGATATTTTGAAGCTCTTTCAAAGCTAAGCACAAAATAATGGCTTTGAAGGGACCCCAGAGATCACCGGCTGAGTCTCCTCGTTCTGTCTCTGAAGACACTGAGCATCGGAGCAGGTACTCAAGGTCTCTCAATTAGCAAGTAGCAGAGCCAAGGAGACTCAGCTTCAGTTCTTTTGGCTCCGAGTCCCGTACTCTTAAATCCGTACTAAGTGCAAATGCTTTTTGTATGTGTATTTTTAAGAACCTTAAAGAGGAGTTTAAGTGATTTTCTTTTGATTTGGATTATTTATTCTTTTTGTTGGTCTCTTTCACCGTTACTAAGTGCATTTCAGTCCTTAAGCAAAATTCCCCTCCTTTGAGGCTAAATTATCACAGAGCATTCCATTCACTTAAAAATAGTTGTACTATAAAAGAAAATACAAGTGGAAAACCTTGCCAACAATAAACATTCAAAAAAACTTAATGTACACCACTTCCATTCCTGCAGAAATGCCAAGTGCAAACCTACTGCACCTGCAGGCTGCGGCGATCACACAGGGCCGGGAGCCGGTGGCTGGCTAGCCCACGTGCGCTTAGGTTTACGACCGCACGCGAGCACCAGTTTAGTTGCTTTGCCAGTAGAGTCAAGTGATTTAAAGAAACAAACAAATATTTCATGGAAAGGGAGAGGGCATAGGGAAGCTTGGGAAGAAGTAGCCAGTCACATTAAAATGAAAGAACATAGCCAGTGTTTTGTTTTTTTCCAAGTTCTCCACTGTACTTGACTGCTGTTCCCTACGTTCTCCTAGTGGGGGAGGAATTCTTCCCATTGGGTGACTCTCAGCTCCTCAGGCAGAAAGCTCAGTATTGCTGTTGGGTGACCGAAAGATATGCTAATTTGTAGATTCCTCCATCCACAGAACAGTCTCTTACTGAACAACATAGGTCTATGTAGCCATTTCCACTCTTGATTTTTATGTGATCTAGCTTGGATGAAAGCTTGCTTTCTCTCTTCTTGAATAAGGGTGGTAAGAACTTACTTCACGTGGGTGAAGAATATCCTCTGGCCAAGTACGGCAAAGACGCTCACTGGTGAAGCAGCAGCTCTTTGGCACCTGCATTTCCTTCCCCAAAGCTTTTCCTAGGGCACATGCGGCGCGTGCTAAGGCGGTGAGTGGTGAGAAGGGGTAGGGCAGAGGAGCCCTGGGTCTCTTCGTGAATGGGCTTTTGTTTTAGTCCAGAGAAATATTATGATGCTCATTGAAAACATACTCTCTTAGGCAATGTATATATAGAATGGCTTCTTCGAGGCTTTGTAGGTCTAGCCTCCTACACTTTCCCAACTATTCTTCAAGTTTCTCTCTCTAATTCGGAGTATAGGGTTTTTTGTTTTCTCCCCAGAGGAGTTTCGTGGCTCTACAGCAGAGGTTAACTAGCAACCCACCAGCCAAATACATCCCGTTGACAATTTTGTTCTGTACACATAGTATGGTTTTGTAAAAATTTGAATTAGTTGCCAGTATTTAAAAATAATATTTCCAGTAAAAATCAAGATTCATAACATATCCTATAAAAAAAAATATATCAGATCTGCAACATTTGGTCTGCACTTCAGCACAGCAATCACTTGATAGAGTTGAATAGTTGCTGCGGCCTTGAGACAGTGAACACTTTCAAGTCTACATCATTACCTACACAGCCCAGACTCTGTAGCTATTCGCATTTCTCACCCTTCCCCAAAGGGTATGTAGTCTAGGTGTTTCTCAGGGGAAGGAGAAAGAGTTAAAGTTATCATCATGGTAATGATACGAATTATAAGATAACCCACCTCATACATTGAGCAGCTAACCATGCCAGGCACTTGACATACCTCTTAAACCTAACAGCAACCTCATCTACAACCCAAAATATTAAATGTGCTTGCCCAGAGTCATATATCTTGTGAGTGGCTGAGTTGGGAACTGAAGTCCAGATCTGTCTGACCCTAGAGCCTATGCTTTTCATTCTATCATACTGCCTCTCAAAATCACTCCTCCCTCCCAACGAACTCCCCCTGAATGTTAGGCCTGCTGGAATCTATGGATGCCAAGAACTGGGGGCCCTGGGGGCCACTGGTGTTTCAGTTTCTATCACGAAGAAGGAAAAGGAGACACATGGTCATCACTGGTGAGGCTGCTTCTACTCTGTCTTATCTTCCAGCTCAGGACCTGCTCTGGGTGCTGATCATATAGCCATGTTCCTGGGGGAGAGGAACTTGTGTGCAAATTTGTTCTAAATCAATCAGAAGCCACAATAAAGGCTTCTGAAAGAACATCAGAATTAATATCAGCTAAGGAGTGACTACTCAACTTTTTAAAAATCTTAGGCTTTGAAAATATAAAATCTTAACCTGTGCAAGATGGTTATTGTAAAAGGAAAAAATGAAATTTCTTATTCTTTTTTTATAGAATATATCTTTATTGATTTCAGAGAGAGGAAGGGAGAGGGAGATAGAAAAATGAAATTTCTTATTCTTTTTTTATAGAATATATCTTTATTGATTTCAGAGAGAGGAAGGGAGAGGGAGATAGAAAAATGAAATTTCTTATTCTTTTTTTATAGAATATATCTTTATTGATTTCAGAGAGAGGAAGGGAGAGGGAGATAGAAAAATGAAATTTCTTATTCTTTTTTTATAGAATATATCTTTATTGATTTCAGAGAGAGGAAGGGAGAGGGAGATAGAAAAATGAAATTTCTTATTCTTTTTTTATAGAATATATCTTTATTGATTTCAGAGAGAGGAAGGGAGAGGGAGATAGAAAAATGAAATTTCTTATTCTTTTTTTATAGAATATATCTTTATTGATTTCAGAGAGAGGAAGGGAGAGGGAGATAGAAATATCAGTGAAGGGAGAGTCACTGATCGGCTGCCTCCTGCACGCCCTTGACTGGGAATCGAACCCGCGACCCGGGCATGTGCCCCGACTGGGAATCGAACAGTGGTCTCCTGGATCCTAGGTCGATCTCAACCGCTGAGCTACATCCGGCCAGGCGAAATTTCTTATTCTTGAAATTACATATTTTATTTATGTTTTCTTTCTTTCCCTTGATCACAGCCTTGTACTGTCTTTAAGGCCTACTGCTTTTCATATCCAGAATATTGTAGATTTACTGTTGGTTTCCTTTGGCATTACCTCCTTCACTTCTGTTTCTTTTCTTCCAAATCTCTCAAAACCTTAAAGTAGCTCCTTTGGTTTCTGCCATCTCCTTTTTACAATGCTGGGAGTACAAATAGTAATAAAATTTTCTTCTGTTTAGCATTTAGTTTTAGGGTAGAAAGATAAATACTCTTCCGGTACCTTTTGTTAAGATTATTTTGGTTGCAAGCAATAGAAATGCACCCATTCAATGTAAATTCAAAAGGGGAGGATTTTGAAAGGATTGGGACCAATGATAGGAACCTCGGCTATTTGTTTAGAAAACACTGTTGGGTTCCTAGAATCAAGGATCAAACTGGCAGACCAGGCTTCAGGAGGCTAGGAACTAGGGCGGCTGTGAGCTCCTCAGCTACAGATGTGCTGAGATACCCAAAAGATAGCTTTGCTCCAAACATATTCTGTCTGTGTCCATCTTCAGGCAGTTTTCAAACCCCAGGGAAGACCATCTGGCCTAGTCTAGGTGTCTCTACTATTGAACTAATTAGCCATGGCCAGGGGATGGAGCGCCTAACACAGTCATGGCCACTGGGGACTCCTTAGGGCAGCTATGTATGACTATGAATGTGGTGACAGGTTTGCAGTCTTTTACTTTCTTGTATGTTTACTTCTAAATCAGGCCCCTAGTCTATGGAAAAGTTGATTTTATTCAGTACATGTAATTTCCATGAAATATAGTAAAATTATTTGACAGAGGCATTTAGAACTTTTAAAAGTCCAGAATTTCTGTTCTTTGGAGAGTCAGTCTGAGAAATATCCCAGATCTTTTTCTGTAATAGGAAATAATTTATCATGGCAATATTTTGTAAGTTGCTTTAAAGTTCTAACATCTTTATGATTGTTAATAATTGTAACGAGGCCATTGCAGTATGGCTCATGCGTAAGAAATGTCTCCCTGGTTAATAAATGGACCTGATACCGCCTGCTGTCTATGAGAAAGTGGTTACATGTTGAGCGGCTCTTCTGTTCCCTCGACATTGAGCAGCATCTTTCTTCCTTCGGTGGGTGAATCTAATGGCCTGGAAATGCTCAGAAGTTAATACTGATAGACAAGCCATGGAAAACCTCTGTCTTGGTTCATACTAAAATATTTTTGTACTAGGACAAGATGAACCTTCTGCTGCAAACATGAGCCTCCTCTCTTCTTCAGCCAAAAGTTCACTAGGGTTCATACAATGTCTTAATGGATTCCAGCAAGATTTCTGTGGGGCTGTAAGGAAGAAGTTTCTGGTTTGCAAGCTGGAGGAATGTGTCCAGCACAGGACCAGCTCTGAAATCAGGACCCACCTGGATTCAAGCTCCAGCCCAGCTTTCTAGTCTGCTTCCGATTTGGGGTGACTTGGCAGCCTGCCTTTATTGTTCCAAAGTATTGCTGCCATTCTTTAATTGACAGCTCACATCTCACCTCCTCCATCACCCCTCCCTAGGCTGATGAGAAATCAGCCCCATCTGTACCCCAAAACTAATCCATAAGACCCTTTCATTCTCCCACTCAAGCAAATAGAGACAGACAATTCTCAGTTGTTCATATTGATAAAGGAATATGATCCTATAGATAATCTGTTATTATATCTAGTCTGTCAAGACTTCTCTTCCTCATAGAGAGGTGTATGACACATGGAGATAAGTAGTTCAGGCATTGAGAAGTGGCAGGAATGGAAGGCCGACTAAGGGCACAATCAATGTGTTTGTGATGGTGAATTCTCACTGAATTTTTGATACCTACTCTCTGAATATATCATTTTTCTCCCTTATTTTAGATCAGGAGGCAACTTCTGAGAGGCCAATTAACTCATTGAATAATGAATAATAATTTTTTATGAAAATAAGAATTTCATTTTTGAGTTTTGAAGAACAGCAGAGAACAATTTCTAAAAACATATTATTAGCCCAGCAGGCGTGACACAGCAGTTGAACATTGACCTATGATCCAGGAGATCATGGTTTGATTCCCTGTCAGAGCACATGCCGAGGTTGAGGGCTCCATCCCTAGTGGGGGGGCACGCAGGAGGCAGCCGATTAATGACTCTCATCATTGATGTCTCTATCTGTCTCTCCTTTTCCCTTCCTCTCTTTGAAATCAATAAAGACATATTTTAAAGAACAAAATAAAATAAAAACATATTATTGTGTTTTTCCTTTCCTTTTTCATTTCTTCAACTTGCATAGTTGTAGTTGTTGTTATAATTAGAGTAGTAGTAGCTGCTCACGTTAGTAAACTCTAAGAACATTACATTCTCACAATGAATTCTCACAGTATTTGGAGGTATACTTGGTACTATGTTATAGAAGAAGAAACCAAGGCAGTGAGAGATGTGGTAATATGGACAAGGTCATGCAGCTAATAAGTAACAGAGCTTGCATTCAAATTCAGAGCCATCGGACTCCAAATCTGTTAGTATATTATGCTATGCTATTCTATACTACACTACTCTATACTACACTATACTATGCTATACTTACTATTCTATACTATACTATACTACACTAATACTGTACTATACTATATTTATACTATACTATACTACACCATACTATACTATACTTACTACTCTGTACTACACTGTACTACACTAATACTATACTATGCTACACTAATACTGTACTATACTATATTTATACTATACTATACTACACCATACTATACTATACTTATTATTCTATGCTACACTATACTACACTACTCTGTACTACACTATACTACACTAATACTATACTACACTATACTATACTTACTATTCTATACTACACTACNCTATTCTATACTACACTACACTATACTATACTACACTATACTATGCTATTCTATACTA